ATAATTTAGGTTTTTAGATTTTCTAAGTTTGTTTACTCTTTCTATCTTTTAATGTAGATTAAGATATTTTGTGGAGTTAGAGATATTAGTATTTGTTTACTTTTATATGAATATTATCCTGGGATTAGGTTTGGGAAGTCCGGGGAGGGGGGTGGGGGTTTTTTGTTATTGTGTTTACTTATATTATGATTGTTTTTTATGTTGGAAAAAAAAATTTCTTTGAAAAAAAAAAGTTCTTTTAAAATGTAACACAAGAATATTTATTACTTTTAATAAGCAGTAAGAGAACTGAATTTTTTAAAGGAGAGAAAAGATGTTGCTTCAATAGTTAAGTCCACAATTTTATCACAGGTTCAGCAATGTTTTGAACTCATCTGACAAGGAAAGCCTCTTTCTTAGCCCAGGGAACAGCAGTGAATCTGCTAAACCACTGGAAATACTATTAAATGGAAACTCAGAGATGGGTGTCTTTCTGTCCATGGACCCCAAATGGCAGCTGGTGAATTCTCCACTTTCAATTTAATTCTGAGTCAGGAAAAAAACCAGACTCTTCCATTAAATTATCAGTATTCGCCTTTGATTTGAGTAAATTATTGACTAGGCTCACTACAATAGATCTTAGCAGCAAACAAGCAAAAGCCATAATTTGATTCTTTTTCTAATTTGTTCCTCTTAAAATAAGATAAACCTTTATTGTCACTTTTTTTTGCGAACACATGGCACACATTAAAAAATGAAATTCCAATGCCTGCTCTCAATATGTGTGTGTGTATGTGTGTATGTGTATATATTCTTTAATCAAGAATAAAATAAGCCCAAGTCTGTGATTTGCAAGATACATTATACTACGGCCAAAACAAAATAAGTTTAATGTGACATGTGATCCAACCCCCATGTATACGTGTTCGAAAACTGTGGTCTGATTGAAAGCACATCTGTAAAGGTATGTGGGGGGGTGTTGTTTTGTTTTCTTAGTTAAGAATTGATTCTTGTCTGTTTAAAATCATATTCCTGTACAAGCATTACAAATGTAATTATATAAAATGATCAAGAAAGATTTGGCAATGTAGTTTAACAGGTATGGCCCCCGAGGTAGCAAGCAAAAGCCAGATAACAGGGCATAAAAAGGTCAGGCCTTGTAAATGGAGCAATATTTTAGTACTTTATTGTAGAGAAGGAATGTAGATAAAGGGTGAAAACAAAACTAAGGCACCAGCCTCAAGATCTGGATTTATGTGATTATTTTATTGTTAATATAGAATTTTTTTTGGGGGGGGGGTTGTCCTCTCTAGGCAAATGCAATTAATTACTCATGACTGATAATGTATATTTTTCTCTACAATCCTTTGCAAATCTGTATTTGGTGTCTTGGTCTAGTTGGCTGGGAGTACAGTGATCACTGTTTCAGAATATTTTAATAAAAAACACCAATTTGCTTTAGATCTGTATTGCTTTGGTTCATTTTTCCATGACAATGGAAACAGAGGCCTTTTCATCCAATGGCTGTAAGTTAAGTCAGCCAGTCTACAACTTCTAAGAAACATTCTGCCTAGACACTGCCATATAACCAGAGACTGAGAATTTTGTTTTCTCAAACAGTGCACTAATAATGAGATTTTTAGACTGACGTGCCATCACAGAATCATAACTCAGTTAAGAGGGGAAATCAAAATACTATTTAACAGATGGTAATCATTAGAATTTCTAAGCACGAGGAAATACAGCCACCTGTGTGATCTTAGCCAATTCAGGGAACCAATATGTATTATACCTCTGTTGTTTTCTCAGTTAAAATACAGTAAAAATCAACAATACAATTAAATATGAGCAGCACAAAGACTTTTCCTACAGCATGTGCAACGTTTCCGAGAGGAAGTCAAATAAATTATGATATGTATTTCCCCTACAGCTTATGAATATAACAAATTGGATGTGTTGAAGCTCCAATTTGTCCCTTGTGACTTCCTCCACTTTAAATGCAGAACAAAACACCATGAATGGCATGAAATCACAGTATCCCCCAAGAGACCGTTATTTTTAAATATGAAGACTGCTAGCTATTCAGCCTTGAATAGGGTCCACGATTTACCCAGTGTTTCCCCAGAGAATCCCAGGAACACACCTTATTTCCATTGTTATACATGGCCACAAGGCAATGGAGGTGATACATGTGACCACATTTGGACAGCTTGCCCACCAATTCTGGCTTGACGACTGGTTGAGGCCCTTTGTAGCCTGAGGGAGCAGAGAGGCGTTCCATGCAAATAGTACAGTCCTGAAGAGAAGCGGGAAATTGTTAGGTGAGAAAACATCAGAATCTTGGTCAGCAGTGTTTCTCAACCTTGATAACTTGAAGATGTGTGGACTTCAACTCCCAGAATTCTCCAGCCACTATGATGGCTGAGGAATTCTGGGAGTTGAAGTCCACTCATCTTCAAGCTGCCAAGGTTGAGAAACACTGGATACGAAGATTAGGTTACATAGGTGTGAGTTGTTGCAGCCTTACTGATCTCCTTGGAAATAGATACATCTAAAACAGGGATCTTCAAACTTGGTCCTTTTATGACTTGTGGACTTCAACTCCCAGAATTCCTCAGCCAGGCACACTGGCTGAGGAATTCTGGGAGTTGAAGTCCACAAGTCATAAAAGGACCAAGTTTGAAGACCCCTTATCTAAAGGAAGTATATCTGCCACAGCCATCCCCAACATTAAAATGAGAGGAAGCTACCCGTAGAAGTGAGGATATTGAATTGACCATCTAATTCAGTATTATCTGCCTGATTTGAAGTGGTTCTACTCTGGTCAGTCTCAGCAAAATTCCTCTACACATTTTGGCCTTCCCTGCATCTTCATTGTAAACCAAGGACAAACCGGGTTT